AACAAATCTGCAAGGCGACGAAAAAGATCCCAATGACGAGGATGATCCTAATGACGAGGACGATGGAGGTAGGCAAAAAAATCAAGCAGATGTTCATTCAACATGATCTTAATCCTTTCAGAGATGAACGAATTCATTCATAACCAAATATTTGAAAAATCCATGACTGAACTCGAAATTCAAAACATTCATCATGATCATGATTACAACACATCCACTATCGACCACCTTCTCACAGAACCACATGACGAAATCACATCCGAGATAATTTATGCCCCAGAAACTGGAAAACAGATAGCGCAACGATACTGCCGTGAAGTCAAATATCTTTTATCACAAACCACGCGGACTCATTTCGACACCAATCTACCGCAATTTAAAAAAACCTGGAGCAACGCCTTTATCCGTTACTTCAACACATATATATATCCCGATATTGATCAGCTGGGTAAGACTATCATTCATGAACTCCTCCTCTTATCAAAATCGAATTCGTCTCGATCATACAGATTTTCATACAGACAAATACCACCGATCCATGTCGATTTGGTGCAGACAAACGTCGAATCAATAATGTATGCAACGTTTGTTGGTAATGTTGTTCTTTTAGAAGTTGTAGTAGTGTGAAGTCATGTAGGTGTCTGTATGTATGCTCAAAATTCAAAGAACTTTATTATCATTTAAGGCTTGTGGATTGTGGAAAGAATTAATTTGCGCGATATATTCAGAAGCTCGATCACATCAAATAGTATAGAAGGAATGAATTTCGTTTACAAGCAAGTTGTTAGTTGGACTTCGGTTACACTGGATCGGCTGCTTTTGGTTTTGAATTTTCTCCAAGGGTATTGCACAAATGAAATCCTGCGCGGCTATTGCTTAATGGGTATATTTTTTGCTGTGTAGTATATGAGTTTTATGATCTGTTGGCTGTTCTATTTTAGGTGGTTATAGGTTGAAGCTGGAGTTTAGTGCATTGCGTATGGATAAGTCGGTGCTGATGGCGGTGGTGGATGATTATACACCGGAAGAGATTGTTGAGAGGATTAAAAGTTTGCATATGGAAAAGGAAAAGTCAGATGATTCGTCAGAAAATAAGAGGAAGACATTATCGTTAGTTGATTTAGCTTATATCTTATTTAAAGATAAAGTTTCATCCTCATTGGAGTATGATTGTTTGTGGTTCTTTGTTCCTATTGTACGACTATGATCTGAACCTTTTAAGGAACATTCGCTGTTCGACATGGGGATGGCACAGTGTACAATGTCGATATACGAGATTATCCGGGGCTCCGATGCAACTGTGAATGGTTTAAGAAGATGAGAAGAAAACAGGATTGTTTACATATTATTCAAGTCAAACGAATATTGAAGATTTCATTGGTGCAAACTCGAGCTAAAGCAAATTCTTCGCTGTTAAGAACATGTATGAAAGCAAAAGCTGGTGCAGGTAAAACTGGGCGAAAGCAACCGTCAATGTGGGACAAGGTAAATAAAACCCTTCATACTTTTGGACTCACGATTTCTATGATTTACTTGTTTATTGAAGGTACAAGCATCAGATACAGTATCTATAAGAGAAACAAGATCTTTGATCAATAAGATCTTTGACTTGAATAATATGTAAACAATCCTGTTTTCTTCTCATCTTCTTAAACCATTCACAGTTGCATCGGA